TTAGTTACAGTGGTGCAACTCTCTGGAACAGCCTACCCTGCAATCTCAGGATGATAAAATCCTTTAATCAGTTTAAAAGCAAAGTTAGACACGGCATTCATGGAAAACAGGATTAGTTTAATATTTAAATTAGGATTTACTACTTCAATTTTTATTAATTAGTATTTAGCATGGACTGTTTATTAGTAGTTTATTAGTATTATTTTTTTATATATATAACTTTAAATATAAGTATTACCTGATGATTTTTAACTGTGTATAAGGAAATGTTAAATAAATAAATAAATAAATAAATAAATAAATAAATAAATAAATAAATAAATAAATTTAACAGAACTATCCTGTCCATTTTGGTGTGACATCACTGGAAATTTAACTAAAGCCAGATGGCCAAACAGACTTGCAAGTGTGCGCAAGTTGAAAACTTGGCTCTACTGGAGACTCCATTTGGCTAGGCCTTGCATGTACTGGCATTGACTTGTGATGACTTGCGCTCATTTTGGTTGAGATCAAATTTGCATGCAAGTTGACGCAAGTTTTTCACAGTTTGGCCACCCAACCCAAGTCATCGCAAGTTGAGTGCCGTCCATCAACCTATCATTAGCCAATGAAATACAGGATGTCTGCCTTGAAAGGGTTTTTTTGGCATACTAGCGAGGAAATTTGTGAGTCCGTTGGGCCACCTAACGCAAGTCTTAACATAGATTCAACTTGCATGCTACTTGCGATTACTTGCTTGTTTCGCCCTATGATGTACGCCCTCAAAGAGAACTACCATTGTCTGATTGTTTCAAGGCATTCAGATTGACTTCAAATGACTGATCATGAAGTACGCCGACAGCAAAACAAGTTGATTAGATTGTTAACATCTTTTAGCATAACATGCCATCAATGTTTTTTTGGAAATGAAAAGTTTTACAAGTTCATTTTTCACAAAAGTTAAGAAAACTTAAGAAATAATTTGGTGACAAAAACAGCGTCAAATTTTATATGGCCAGCTAAATTAACCAATCACAGCATGCATAGTATCTGAGAGGTATGATAAAAGTCCCTATTAAATTGCAGTAGGCCTGCTATACATTCTCTCAAACAAATAAAAATGGTGAAGTTTTATGTCCTGTTTGAGACTAAAACAGCTCAAAAACCTCAACCTTTGGTGCAGGACATAACTGTGTAGGCTATGTAAGGAAGTAACCCCTCTCCTCCCCAACACAGATATTTTGACTTTACCCTACGTTAACCAAAGTAAAGCATGGGCATCAATAAAACACTACATTCCTTTAAATTAATGCATGTTGTATTGAAACATACTTTAAGCTTATTCTTGGTTGGAGTGATAATTTTCATTTTCTACTGACACCTTCAGGTTCATCAAAATGTAAAATTACAATGGAATTTGAGCAATGGCCTGGAACTCTTATGGTACAAAATAACGATTCCCTAAACATTAGATCAATACCTAGATATGGTAAGTAGATATTCTATGGCTGACACTGTACATGTACATCCTTGAATTTCACTCTTCAACAGCCTGCCTGCAGTGCTTCTTGTGGGATGGGTCATTTATTTCAACTTGTTTAAAGTATAATTTTGGTTAATGTGGCTTAAGATCTGAAGTGTCAATTCTTCAGGTTAGACTATGCCCTTGGTTATGCCAATCAGCATTTGGAGGATTTTCTCCAAACTTATTTACGTTTCTTTTCTGGACATGAGTTTTTCTGCCAATTACAAAACCTAAGGGCATGTTCCTTTGGGATGATCTAAATCAGGATGTTCACTTGGATCAGTGTCCTTGGAAGAATGGATGAATCCACTTCGTGCAAGTGATAAAGTGTCCACCTAGGCTTGACATTTTGGATGGTTGCTTACGGGAGGTTCGACTGTAGTATTTTGTTCAGCCACAGAGCAAAGTTAGAATTTTTGATCTTTTTGTTGCATCACAGGCGGCCCAGACGTTGAATACGATTAATACGGGACATTTTGCTGTTGGCGATTGCATTACAATTTTAACCCTTTAAGACAATGTATGAGAATGCTTTGAAAATTACTCTAAATGCTACGTGTAGAAAGTAATTTGAATAAAATGGTTTACCTTATGTCTGCATCATGTTATTTTGATGTCTCTGGGTTCCTGGAGGTGGCTTAGAGCCATTTAGGCGAGTTTTACTTTTTGACGGTTTGCTTTCCCTAAAGAGAAACGTTCCTCTTTAGGGGAAGCAAACCACCAGAAAGTAAAACTCACCTAAATGGCTTTAAACCACTTCCAGGAACCCAGAGACATCAAAATAAGGTGATGCAAACATAAGGTAAGCCATGTTATTCAAATTATTTTCTACACATTGAGAGTAATTAAGAGTAATTTTCGAAGCATTCTCATACATTGTCTCAGCCTGTTGTCTCATAAACGGCTAAAATTGTAATGCAATCGCCAACAGCATAATGTCATGTATTAATCGTATTCAACATCTGGGCCGCCTGTGGTTGCATGGATTGTAAAGCAGCCAGTAATTTTAGAGTACCTCATTTTCTGAGTGAGTGAGTGAGTGAGTGAGTGAGTGAGTGAGTGAGTGAGTGAGTGAGTGAGTGAGTGAGTGAGTGAGTGAATACCTTTATTTAAGTGTCAAACTAAAATAACAGTAAATAACCACTAAATGGGGACACTATAACTAGATTAAAATTAATAAAACTATTTACAATTGATAAAACGAATATGAAATTAATGAGATTATTTACATGTGCATGATTGTTGAATGTGGCTTAGAGCTATTTACAAATACATATAGATTTAATAAAATACTAAAGCGTCTATCTGGTGTTTAACTACAGTGCTTGGTGCTTTAAAACTTTTTGAAATGATGGTTGTTAACATAATTAGTTAAGATATGGAATTTTCCTTATTTGCAGGTCATGTCCCATGTCATGGTCATAATAATAACTACAAGGCAGGGACATGGCAGTTCTCTGGTGGTAATAATAACTACAAGGCAGGGACATGGCAGTTCTCTGGTGGTAATAATAACTACAAGGCAGGGACGTGGGAGTTCTCTGGTGATAATAATAACTACAAGGCAAAGTCTGGTTATGTTCTGATAATGAATAACTATATCTTCCCCAAGAGGGATGATGTTGAGCGTATTGCCTCCAATGATGACGTAAGGAATCTGACAAGTCTTTTTGATGACTTCAATTTCCGACACAGGCTAGAAAACAACCAAACTGGAAGTCAAATGATTAACTTACTGCAAACCACAGCGGAGAAAGACTTTTCAGGATATGACTGCTTTGTGTGTGTGATCCTTAGCCATGGAGGAAAAGATGGGATCTATGGTACAGATGAAGAACTGATTAAAATTGAGGCAATCACATCTCTCTTCCGATGCAATGAGTGCCCCTCATTGGAAGGAAAACCCAAAATATTCCTCATCCAAGCTTGTCGCGGCAGTCAACGAGATAGGGTAACTGTTGAGAGTGACGGCCCCGCCATTTTACCGTCATGGTCATCTTCACCAGCAGATGCTGATTTTCTCATCTGTTTTGCTTCGGCTCCAGGCCATGAAAGCTATCGACAGGTTGGCATAGGTTCATGGTTCATCGCTGCTGTTGTTGATGTGTTCAAGGAATATGCAGAACGAGAGCATCTCATGGATATGATGACAAGAGTCAATGACCGTGTTGCTGGTTTTTTCAGCAAGGAGGGTCTTAAGCAAATGCCATCTCAGGTCTCTATGCTACGAAAGAAAGTGTTTTTTGATCCAAAGTATAGCTGAACATGAATTTTACCTTGACAAGGAATTTATCCTTCAATGTCTTTTACATGACATTTTCATGTAGGATTTTAAAATTGTCTGACTATGGCAATGGATTGAACCCCAGTAGATGTTATCTCTGGTATGTTGTCTGTAGACATTTAACAATAAATTATTCCATGAGCGCATGTTGATATGAGATATGAGATATGGGGGAATGACGCTTGTTGGATATGAGAGGTGGAATAACTTTTTATTAAAAATTCTCCCAAAATATAGAAAACCAAAATAGAATAAAAGTAAAAATTCCCCCCTTCCCTGCAAAAAAAAACCAAACAACAACAACCAAAAAAACAGCATATGCTTACTATACTTGTAGAGTATGGTATAATGGCTCATACACCATGAAAGCTAAGCGAATGAAAATTCTCGAATTGCATTATCCAATGATCCAGGTTTTAATACTGTGGATTGGGCATGTTTTTTAGAGACTGGACTTGAAGTACCTTGCACTGAAGGCTATCATGGGGGAATAATGCATCATTACAAGTAACTTCATCGGGTCTGTATTATATGGAATAGTTTCCTCCTTGAGAACCTCCATTGCAAACTAGTTCAATTCCAGTTGCAAGAAAACAAGTTTAAGTTTCTTAATTTTGTAGCATGGTGCAACTTTTCTGGGAAATCTTGTGCAGATATACCTGTTTTGTGAGTTAAAATTTGCTTGAAAGTTGTAAATATATTGATCACCCACAATTACTATCCGATAATAATATTATGAGCATAGTAATAATTATGATAGTAATCAAAGCAGGTATAGATTTCTCTCAGTTGTTGTTATCAGTAGCCAGCATTGGGTTAGTAACAGCCAGCATTGAACATTTAACAATTCTTAGGTTATGAGCTCAAGATTTCTAACACATGATAGGCATAGAAATCGAGAGCAAATAATCTAATTGTTTTAGTATAAATCTACTAATTGTTCAAAAGTTTACCTAAATCCTCTTCACAGACACTTTGAAAACACCAAGAAACGGCCACCATTTTGTTAACAACTCCACTCTGCTAGGCTACTCACTGTCTACAACACAGTAGATAGTGAGTAGCGTAGCCAATAAGAGAACAGCATTCATTATAGAATTTTCCTGGTTTTGCAACAGCAAACTTTAACATTTAAGTGGTCTGATGGGTCAGTACTGGTGGGGAAGTTGATGAAATTAATTCAAACCTCGAATTTGATATCTTTTACTGTGAACTGAGCTTGTAAATTGTACTGATTCTAACAGTGACAGTGTATGATTATAAGATAATTTCTAGATTATTACAGGTTGATTAGAATGAGTCAGTTAAGCTGACAATTCAACTTTTTCAAAAAGAAAGTCAGTCTGTAGTTTTAATATAATATTGCAGAACTTCAGTCTTAGACTGAAAAATTGTAGATACATCTTGGTTAAAGGAGGAAAACTCTTCATATTGAATATTTTTCTTCTGTGGAGGTGAATATTTGTGTGAGAGTGAATGTTGATTGTTCAGTCAAAACTTGAGAACAGTACCAGTAACGTAACTGAAAGAAATTGTGATCTGCACAAACACGAACATGCACAATAGTTTACAGATAAGTACTCTTAGATGCAGTTAAATACTGGCTACATTTCAAAGTGTTTATTCAAACCTGAAATGTTTGAGCTTGTCCTAATTATCGAGTTGCATGGTTGGAAAAGTGCCAATGGTGATGATGAACAAATGACTAATACGAGAATCTCCACGAATGTTACGGTTACTTGCAATATTTGTTCCCTTTGTTTCAGGGGCATGCCTGTAAACTAGCTAAGCTTAGTGCTTTTATAGTTAAGTGCATGACCACTATAAATAAGATTTACTTTTTTTTACTACATGTATCCAAAGAGCAGTGCATCAGTTTGGTCTACTGTCTCCCTTGCTGGAGGGTCCAATATAGTTTTTTTAAATCCTGCATCCCGCCACTACTTTTAGCTCAATATTCCGCCATTCCGCCCCAGTCACAATGTTTATCTTGATCCCACCTGGTTAGAGTCGCAGTTACTACTAAATTTAGTTTATTCCCAGGTATTTAGCGATTTACTGAATGATTTATTTTGCTGATTGTTTTTTTTTTCTTTGTCCCCTCATTTTGTCTCCTTACTTCCCCCGTGCCCCCCCCCCCCCCNCCCCCCCCCCCCCCTTGAAGTTTTACGGCCAACCAACTTCTTTGTATAAATACTAAGCTATTTATTTTCACTAAGTAATTCTGGATGAATTAACCTAATTTTCTGTTTCAATTACCATTTTTGTAACTCAGAGTTTTTCTATTTTGGTATTAAATAAAGTGTGTGTAGTTATTGTTGTTTTATTGAGGGTGGTGTGGGTGTTAACTTCGTGGTGTTGAAAGTTTAATACGACTTCGTTGCGATTTGCATTTTGGCTAGACAGCGGACCTTTGTGAGAGCTTTTTGTTTTTTACGTTTCTGCGCGATCACGTGGCAAAATGAACACGGGTCACGAAAGGTTGTATCAGTAAACAATAGCATTTAAATCTGTGTTCTGCGCACGCAGCTCTTCGCACTATAAATACGTACGGTACATGTAGTTCGTTCACTGTACAAATTTAGCAGCGTTCTGTGCAACATCCACACTCGGAGCAGGCTTGGAGCATGTGTCTACACGTTACCAAAACAGTAAGTCAATTGTCTGTAATACCAGGCCATTCAACTCGATCGCTTATTTTCATTTCTTTGTTACTGTTGGGCTTCAATTTTCACATAAATTCGGATAGAGAGTAATCTGCACGTTGTACGACAAACGGCAAATGTGTGATCTCGATCGAGTCCATTACGATCTAGAATTTACAAGTTTGCGACAGGCACTGAGCCACGCGAAAATAATATTTTGTTCAACTTAAGACTACGGGCGTCAAAAGGGGGCTTCATATTTTTATTTTATCCAGGCAAAGATTTCAATTGTAAAATGTTTTTGCAGAACCTATTGTAAATTGTTTTTGTTGCGCTTCTTCCATAATCACAGATTTGACTATTTACTGGAAAACGATACTGTGTATTGGCCCTTTCAAGTTTATTTGTAATCTAGTATGTAGTATCTCGAAAGACCTCGTTCAATTTGCATTTCTGCGAGCTATATTTTCAGCACGATCACATGACAAATGAACACAGGTCACGAAAAGGTTGTATCAATCACGCCAAGGTAGGATAACTTCCGTTTATGCGCGCGCACGATACTCGCACCAAATAAGGAAAATATTGTTTGTGCCAAAAATTGAGCTCCGTGCAAAGTACGGTTTTACTTCTGTGGTAACTTCACTTAACTTGAAGTAATTTCTACCTCTGAAAAGAACTGCATAGTGTTCTTCCTTTTTAAGACATAGTATTAGTCTCCGAATTGTGGCTATCCACTCGAGAGGAAGGCTTCACTTTGGGTTGTTCTCTAATGATAGCACCAGCTCCAGAACAGCGTGGGAAAATATTCTCTTTGAGGTCACTTAGAGCTTGAGCACAGCAAGGAAGTAAGAATAATCTTTATTTGCAATTGTGCTTGGGGGTTGTAGTCTGAATCAGTAACGTCTACTTCTATTCACATTCTCTGTCATCCTTTAATTTCGCCGCATAAAGTGGCATAAGCTTCAATTTTTAAATTAATAGCTTACAACCATAATAATATACATGAAAAAATTTCTCGATTCTGATTGGCTGAGAGCAGTGCTGTTCAAGTATAACACCAGTGCAAAAAGTGTAACATCAGTGCAAATTACACATTGTAATTCTGGNGCTGAACTAGCTCTGGTATAGGCTAAGGGTTCCAGGGTCCCAGCGGCACATCCCCACCCAGAAATTCCCATAGTACCCCACCGGGACTAAAACCACATTTTTAACCCCCTAAAGGTACGACAAACACCCCTGTCCTTTTTATCTGGGAGTCTCCTTGGGATTTTTTCCTTGTGTTGGCATTCGTTCACTGTATGGCCCACGATGTTTTATTTTTTAGTCACCCTTGACAATGTTGGAGAAAATAGAAGGTCTGTGAACAGAACAAAACTTAAAACAAAAGTGACTGAGTAGTCATTAATGATTATTTGCAGTAAATTATAGTAAATTTATAAATATATGAGAAGGAGGATTAAACAGGAGGGCAAATAAACATTCATTTTTGTTATGAAATGCAATAGCAAGCTGAATTTTAATACTTCTGGTTATAATGGATCATGCAGCATTTAGTTCATCTTGCCTGCTTGCAGATTAGGGCCGGCCATGTAATAAGTATGGCTTATTGACCAAGCATAAAATTATTACAAAGTTACAAGACATCTACCAAGTACTAGCCTTTTTGTGCTTTTAAATTTCTAGAGTCAGATACTGTGAAGTTCCATAACTGAACAAAGAAAACAAAATCCCATATTTTCTACCTTATTATCAGTTCTATTAGCCAATCACAGTGCTGGATTTCACTTATATCTTAGTGCTGATGCTTCCCTCTTTTGTATCTCGTTTGTGTATTATTTTACGTATTTCAGTTTCAATAAGGAAAAGTTCAGTTTACAAATTTCCCCACCGTTAAACAAAAGAACTACTAACTAATAGTTCTGTTGTCACCGACATCTGTGCTGTAAATAGGTAAACGGTGCACTATGTGTCGTCAAGTATAGAGTACTTAGCAGTACCTTGTTTGCCCGCTGACTGGAAATACGACTTGCCCTTCACTTGCGCTCACTTCCGCCATTTTTAGCGAGAACTCCAGCGCACGTTTCCAGCTGGAATTCTAAAGTTCCATTTACGCTAGTATGTCAAGTAAGTTTAAAGTACATGTGGCAGATTGTAGTGGTGCCGTAGTGATAGGAGATCATGCCAACTTAACCGTTGAGGCTCCAGTCGCAGGAGGTAAGTCCGGCAAATTTTCCTTTCCCCTTGACTGATTATTTCTTCCGTTTTTGGGTCTCACTCAGGGAAGAAAAGAGTTGCAGTAGGCAGAGATGGATGTGAAGACTCGAGTTAACAACTCGTAACTGGCGATTTATTACTATAGGCGTGTACTAGCTTTACCTTAATAAGTATACAAAAGCGATCTTTGCGCGTTTATTTCCAAAAATACTGTTATATTCAATTGGAATGTTGGGCGCAGACACGTACAACAATGTCGCAAAACCGAAGACATTAATTTTGAGACTTCTGTGAAACCGTCGCAAGTGGAATTAGCTGTTAAATTAAGTCCATGAAACGATTTTAACTTTTTAGACTTATTTTACTCAAAATCGATCGATCCTACGTGGTCACTGCTTGAGCCTGTACACGACGTACTTTTTTACGTCAATCTCGAGAGCGATTTCTGTAATAATTTGTCACTTTAAAGCCATACAATTTCAAACAGTGTTAACTATTTGAAAGCCGTGCTATGAGAGATAAAATAAAAAGTGTGACTGAAACTGATCGAAAGCAAAGTGAAACGGTTGTGGGAAAAACCCCTTTTTGAGTATCTAAAAATAGCAACAAACGTCGTATGATTTCTAAGACTCCATAACAGGTTCTGTAATGCTAATTTGATCCCAGCTTATGCATTTAAGTGACTACTTCTACTTTTTAACTTGATTTCTTTTTAACTTTAGCCAGACCACCACACAGGCCTGTCCGGGAACAAGCAGCTGCAGCAACGACAACAAGCAGTAAGAATAGGCACTTGTATCGTTTAATCGTTAACACCATGACTGTGTTCAGAAATTTTAATCCTTTCTTATAATTTGTAAACCCAGTTAATTTAACCCAGTTTTGTATGACTATTATCTTTGTCTTCCCTTACCTCTTCCCCATTCTCATATAATGTTGATTTTTATCCATCCAAGTTATTTTACTGTGCAAAAAAAACTTTTCTTCAAATAATCAGACTGCCGGGTTGTAGAAGGATAAGGATAAGTCTGCAAACGACCCAAGTGGCCCATCGGGCCGGTGCTTATCTCCGGTTTCTGTTGCATGAAGCGACTACGAGTATTTCTTGTCCCCCCTGGATGGGATGTTAGTCCATCGCAGGGTTACCCCCAGCATTAAATTCGCCGGCACCCATTTATACACCTGGGTGGAGGGGTGATGTAGCAGCTCTCGTAATGTGTAATATGATTGGCTCGCTACCCTAGCCGAAAACAAAAGACCAAACAATTGAAACAATGACTTGGACTTAAAAACAATAGAAGCTGCTTACAATACCAAACAAAAGCAGGTTATGAGAGCTGTTACACTACCGGGGTGGAGAGAGGCACTGTGAGATTAATGGGTAATTTTCTTTATTTCAAGCTCATGTCCCATGTCAAGAGTCTTCTGGGGATGATATTAATTACAAGGCAAAGTCTGGTTATTGTCTGGTGATAAACAACTATATCTTCCCCCGGAGGGATGATGTTGAGCGTACTGGCTCCAGTGATGACGTAAGGAATCTGACAAGTCTCTTTAATGACTTCAATTTCCGACATGTGGTAGAAGACAACCAAACTGGAAGTCAAATGATAAAGTTACTGCAAACCACTGCAGAGAAAGACTTTTCCAGATATGACTGCTTTGTGTGTGTGATCCTTAGCCATGGAAAAAAGGATGGGATCTATGGTACAGATGAAGAACTGATCAAAATTGAGGCAATCACATCTCTCTTCCGACGCAATGAGTGCCCGTCACTGGAAGGAAAACCAAAAATATTTCTCTTCCAAGCTTGTCGTGGTTCTCGACGAGATACAGTACCTGTTGAGAGTGACAGCGACCCCATTCCACTTTCAAGTTCATCATTACCAGCAGATGCTGACTTTCTCATCTGTTTTGCTTCAGCTCCAGACCATGAAAGCTACCGACAGGCTCACCTTGGTTCATGGTTCATCTCGTCTGTTGTTGACGTGTTCAAGGAATATGCAGAAAGAGAGCATCTCATGGATATGATGTTGAGAGTTAACAACCGTGTTGCTGGATTTTACAGCAAGGAGGGTCTCAAGCAAATACCATGCCAGGTCTGCATGCTACGAAAGAGAGTGTTTTTTGATCCAAAGTATAGCTGAACATGAATTTTACCCTGACAAGGAATTTATCCTTCAATGTCTTTTACAAGGCATTTTCATGTAGTATTTTAAATTAAGATTGTCTGACTGTGGCAATGGATTGAACCCCAGTAGATGTTACCTCTGGTATATTATCTGTAGACATTTAAAGTGCATATGACATGAAAAATAATTTCTGCTTATTTGAAAGGCCTTTCAAAATACAAAAGAATGGTGTTTTTCTTTTTAAAATATTTTTTTTCGTTTTAGAGATATTGACGTTTTTCTGTTATGAAATTAGATCAGTGACGACGTCATATTGTTTGCAACTAAAAAGTGATAAAATACAGAATAAACGATATCTCTGGAAATATTGAAGCAGTGTTCTTGAAACTTGGCACCACAAATGTGCATCACAAAAGCCATATGCACTTTAACAATATTATTCCATGAGCGCATGTTGATATGAGATATGAGATATGGGGGAATAATGCTTGTTGGATGTGAGATGATAATCATCTCACATCCAACAAGCGCAAGTGGAATAATATTAAAAAAAAAAAACGCTCTCAAAATATAGAAAACTAAAGTAGAGTAAAAGTAAAAACGCCCCCAAAAAATTATGTGCATATTAACGGTATCTGTAGGGCATGGTGTAATTTATTGTTCTTACACCATGATGGCAAAGCCAATGAAAACCCTTGAATTGTATTACATAATGATCATTTTTTGTTAATAGATAAATGTGAAATAGGTCATGTTATTTTCTTGAGACTGGACTGGAAGTCACTTGCACTTAAGGCTATCATGGGGGAATAATGCATCATGAAAAACAACTTCATTGCGTTGGCATTATTAATTTTTGAATAGTTTCCTCCATAAGAACTTCATTGCAAACTAGTTTAAGAACACAAGTATGGTCTCTTAATTTTGTAGCATGGTACAACTTTTCTGAGAAATCTTGTGTAGATGTACATGGTTTGTGAGTTGAAATTTCCTTGAAAATTGTAAATATATTGATCATTCATAATTACTATCTGATAATAATATTATCAGCATAATAATAAGTATGATAGTAATCAAAGGAGGGATAGATATCTCTTAGTAGTCACAATCAGAAGCCATAATGGGCTTGTAACATCCCTCATTTAACATTGAACAATGTTAGATTATGGGCTCAAGATATCAATCACTTGATAAGCGCAGAAAATGAGAGCGAATTATCTGATTGTCGAGGAAAAGGTGGTGGTTGTTCATCATGGTAGATGTAATAATAAAGTGTTCTATTGTTTGTCTCACGATGTAGTCACTTGAGATGTAGATCGCGAAGTTTCGACTGCTTACTGCTAGTATTCTGAAGGCGATGAGGTCGACTGATTACACGGCACTATTTATATCACGAAGGGCAGCTGTGATTGGTGCATTTCAAACCTCCCATTGTTCCATTGTTCCGGTGAGTAGCTGTTCCCAGTAGGTACATCATGTATGGGGACATATATTGTACCGAAATATGTTTCATATATGCTTGATATGCTTGAGATGCTTGTCTTACTTGACATGCTTGACTTGCTTGAGGTACTTGTCTTACTTGAGATTCTTGTCTTACTTGAGGTGCTTGTCTTACTTGAGTTTCTTGACTTACTTGAGATTCTTGTCTTACTTGACATGCTTGACTTACTTGAGTTGCTTGTCTTACTTGAGGTGCTTGTCTTGAGATTCTTGTCTTACTTGCGACGCATGTCTTACTTGAGATTCTTGTCTTACTTGACATGCTTGACTTACTTGAAGTGCTTGACTTACTTGAAGTGCTTGACTTACTTGAGATTCTTGACTTACTTGAGACGCTTGACTTACTTGAGATTCTTGTCTTACTTGAGGTGCTTTTCTTGCTTGAGGTGCTTTGCTTACTTGAGGTGCTTTGCGTACTTGAGGTGCTTTGCTTACTTGAGGTGCTTTCCTTACTTGAGGTGCTTTGCTTACTTGAGGTGCTCTGCTTACTTGAGGTGCTTTGCTTACTTGAGAATCTTTGCGTTCTTAAGGCTCCTGACGTACTTGAGGTACTTGACTTACTTGAGATGCTTTGCTTGCTTGAGGTGCTTGGCGTACTTGAGGTGCTTTGCTTACTTGAGCTGCTTGCCTTACTTGAGGTGCTTTGCTTGCTTGAGGTGCTTTGCTTACTTTAGGTGCCTTGCTTACTTGAGATGCTTTGCTTATTGGAGGTGCTTTGCTTACTTGAGGTGCTTTGCTTACTTGAGATGCTTTGCTTATTGGAGGTGCTTTGCTTACTTGAGGTGCTTGACTTACTTGTGGCGGTTTGCCTACTTGAGGTGCTTTGCTTAATAATAATAATAAATAATAATAAAATATTTATATAGCGCCAATCCACTATTTGTCCATGGCGCTTTACATTAAATAAAAAAAAAATATTTAAAAAGCTAAAAAAGGGGGAGGGGAAAAAAAAATTAAAAAATAATCTAAAAATTAAAAGAGTTAAAAAGCTTGTTTAAAAAGATATGTTTTTAAATGCCGTTTAAAAATGTCAATCGAACTACTGGATCNGACAAGATGACGTGTGGCAGACCTCCAGGAGTATAAATAGTTCGACAGGTAGACTCGGTACTATGAGAGAAAATAAAAAGTGTGACTGAAACTGATCGAAAGCAAAGTGAAACAGTTGTGGGAAAAACCCCTTTTTGAGTTTCTAAAAATAGCAACAAACGTTGTATGATTTCTAAGACTCCATAACAGGTTCTGTAATGCTAATTTGATCCCAGCTTATGCATTTAATTGACTACTTGATTACTTTTTAACTTTAGCAGGACCACAGCGAAGGCCTGTCCGGGAACAAGCAGCTGCAGCGATGACAACTAGCAGTAAGAATAGGCACTTGTATAGTTTAATCGTTAACACCATGACTATGTTCAGAAATTTTAATTTTTTATTATAATTTTGAACCCAGTTAATTTAACAACCTTGTTTTATTGACCAATATCTTTGTCTTCCCTTACCTCTTCCTCATTCTCACATAATGTTGATTTTTATCCATCCAAGTTATTTTTCTGTGCAAAAAAACTTTTCTTCAAATAATCAGACTACTGGGTTGTGGAAGGATAAGGATAAGTCTGCAAACGACCCAAGCGACCCATCAGGCTGGCGCTTTTCTCTGGTTTCTGTAGTATGAAGCGACTAGGAGTATTTCTAGTCCCTCCTGGATGGGATGCTAGTCTCGCAGCGTTACCCCCAGCATTAAATTCGCCGATACCCGTTTAAACGCCTGGGTGGAGGGGTGATGTAGCAGCTCTCGTAATGTATAATATGATTGGCTCGCTACCCTAGCCAAAAACAAAAGACCAGACAACTGAAACAATGACTTGGACTTAACAACAATAGAAGCTGCTTACAATACCAAACAAAAGCAGGTTATGAGAGCGGCTACACTACCGGGGTGGAGAGAGGCACTGTGAGAATAATGTGTAATTTTCTTTATTTCAAGCTCATGCCCCATGTCAAGAGTCATCTAGGGATGATATTAATTACAAGGCAAAGTCTGGTTATGTTCTGGTGATAAACAACTATATCTTCCCCTGGAGGGATGACGTTGAGCGTACTGGCTCCAATGATGACGTAAGGAATCTGACAAGTCTCTTTAATAACTTCAATTTCCGACATGTGGTAGAAGACAATCAAACTGGAAGTCAAATGATAAAGTTACTGCAAACCACTGCAGAGAAAGACTTTTCAAGATATGACTGCTTTGTCTGTGCAATCCTTAGCCATGGAAAAAAAGATGGGATCTATGGTACAGACGAAGAACTGATTAAAATTGAAGCAATCACATCTCTCTTCCGACGGAATGAGTGCCCCTCACTGGAAGGAAAACCAAAAATATTTCTCTTCCAAGCTTGTCATGGTTCTCGACGAGATACAGTACCTGTCGAGAGTGACAGCGACCCCATTCCACTTACAAGTTCATCTTTGCCAGCAGATGCTGACTTTCTCATCTGTTTTGCTTCGGCTCCAGACCATGAAAGCTACCGTCAGGCTCACCTTGGTTCATGGTTCATCTCGTCTGTTGTTGATGTGTTCAAGGAATATGCAGAAAGAGAGCATCTCATGGATATGATGTTGAGAGTTAACAACCGTGTTGCTGGATTTTACAGTAAGGAGGGTCTCAAGCAAATACCATGCCAGGTCTGCATGCTACGAAAGAAAGTGTTTTTTGATCCAAAGTATAGCTGAACATGAATTTTACCCTGACAAGGAATTTATCCTTCAATGTCTTTTACATGGCATTTTCATGCAGGATTTTAAGTTAAGATTGTCTGACTGGCAATGGATTGAACCCCAGTAGACGTTATCTCTGGTATATTATCTGTAGACATTTAACAATATTATTCCATGAGTGCATGTTGATATGAGATATGAGATGTCGAGGAATAATGCTTGTTGGATAAGAGATAATAATTACCTCATATCCAACAAGCACAAGTGGAATAATACTTTTTAAAAAGTATCTCCCAAAATTATGAAAACTAAAGTAGAATAGAAGTAAAAATGCCTAAAAATTTTTGTGCACATTCACCATATTTGTAGAGCATGGTGTAAGATATTGTTCTTACACCATGATGGCAAAGCCATCGAAAACCCTTGAATCGCATTATCTAATGATCATTTTTTTGTGAAATTTCCTTGAGACTGGACTGGAAGTAGCTTGCACTTAACCAGGGCTGTCATTAAGTTTTGAGTCACCTGTAGCCTCGCTCTCCACACCCATAGCAAACTTGATACTTTGTGGTTGAATTCTGTCAACAACAAGCAATTTCACCAGTAGTATCAAGGGAAAAACAAGCATACTCAGCCGTAACAGGTATTACAGGTTACGGCCCTTAATGACAGTCCTGTTAAGGCTATCATGGGGGAATAACACATCATTAAAAACAACTTCATTGTGTTGGCATTATTAATTTTTGAATAGTTTCCTTCATAAGAACTTAATTGCGAACTAGTTCAAGTCTAATTGCAAGAACACCAGTATGGTCTCTTAAATTTGTAGCATGGTACATCTTGTGCAGATGTACATGTTTTGGAGTTGAGATTTGCTTGAAAATTGTAAATATATTGATCACCCATAATTACTATCCGATAATAATAATATCAGCCTAGTAATAGATTTTATGTTAGTAAGATTTCTCTCAGTTGCTATTATCAGTTAAGCCATTGGGTTAGTAGCAGCCCACATTGAACATTTAACAATTATTCTTAGAGGGCTCAAGATTTCTAACACATGATAGGCATAGAAATCGAGAGCAAACAATCTAATTGTTTTAGTAACAGCTGCACTCTGCTAGGCTACTCACTATCTACAACAGAATAGATAGTGAGTAGCGTAGCCAATAAGAGAACATCATTCATTGTAGAATTTTCCTAGTTTTGCAACAGCAAAATTTAACATTTAAGTGGTCTGATGGGCCAGTACTAGTGGGGAAGTTGATGAAATTAATTCAAACCCCGAATTTGATATCTTTTACTGTGAACTGAGCTTGTAAATTATACTGATTCTAACAGTGACAGTGCATGATTATAAGATAATTTCTAGATAATTTATTACAGGTTGATTAGAATCAGTTCAGCTGACAATTCAACTTTTTCAAAAAGAAAGTCAGTCTGTAGTTTTAACATAATACTGCAGAACTTCAGTCTTAGACTGAAGAATTGTAGATACATCTTGGTTAAAGAAGGAAGACTCTTCATATTAAATATTCTTCAGATATTCTCTTTGCTCTGTGGAAGTGATTATTTGTGTGAGAGCGAATGCTGATTGTTCACTCAAAACTTGAGTACAGTACCAGTAATGTAACTGAAATAAATTGTGATGTGCACAAACATGAACATGCACAATAGTTTACAGATTAGTACCCTTAGTTGCAGTTAAATACTGGTTACATTTCAAAGTGTTTATTCAAACCTGAAATGTTTGAGCTTGTCCTAATTATCAAGTTGCATGGTTGGAAAAGTACCGATGGTGATGATGAACAAATGACTAACAAAAGAATCTACACAAATGTTACGTTTATTTGCAATATTTGCTTCCTTTGTTTGAGTGGCATGCCTGTAAACTAGCTAAGCTTAGTGCTTGTATGGCAAAGTGCATGACCACTATAAATAAGATTTACATTTTTTTTACTACACGTATCCAAAGAAGCAGTGCATCAGTTTGGTTTACTGTCTCCCTAGCTGGAGGGTCTAATAGGTTTTTTAAATCCTGCATCCCGCCACTACTTCTCACTGACTGAGCAAACTTGTAGCAAAGGATCCATAGGTGCTCAAATGAGGTGGAAGGCTAAAAGAGATAAAGGCTATTTCTTGTTTGATAGAGAGGGTCACATTGAAGCTGGGCCCTTTCTTTCTTCCTTGATGTATTCAACACCTTACAATCATATTGCCAACATTCATGAGTTTCATCTGGTACTTACTGGTGACATTTATTTCTACTAAATTTAGTTTATTCCTAGGTATTTAGTGATTTATTGAATGATTTATTTTAGTGATTGTTTTTTTTTCTTTTTCCCCTCATTTTGTCTCCTTACTGCCCCCCTTTAAGTTTTACAGCCAACCAACTTCTTTATATAACTATTTAATTTCACTAAGTTATTCTGGATGAATTAATCTAATTTTCTGTTTCAATTACCTTTTTTGTGATTCAGAGTTTTTCTATTTTGGTATTCTGCCCCCGCCCCTCCCTCCTCCTTTAAGTTCTACAGCCAACCAACTTCTTTATAAAAGTACTATTTAATTTCACTAAGTTATTCTGGATAAATTGACCTAATTTTCTGTTACATTTACCTTTTTTGTAACTGAGAGTTTTTCTATTTTGGTCTTAAATAAAGTGTGTGCTGTTATTGTTGTTACATTGAGGGTGGTGTGGGGGTTAACTTTTTGGCGTTGAAAGTTTATTACGACTTCATTGCAATTTGCATTTTGGCTAGACAGCGAGCGTTTGTGAGAGCTTTTTGTTTTTTTACGTTTCTGCGCGATCACGTAGCAAAATGAACACGGGTCACGAAAGGTTGTATCAGTAAACAATAGCACTTAAACCTGTGTTCAGCGCACGCAGCTCTTCGCACTATAAATACGTACGGTATATGTATTTCGTTCATTTAGCAGCTGTTTAAATTTAGGAGCTGGCTTGAAGTGTGTGTCTACACCTCACCAAAACAGTAAGTTACTTGTCTAGTGTCTGTAATACCAGGCCACTCCACTCGATCGCTTAGTTTCATTTCTTTGTCACTGTTGGGCTTCAATTTTAACATAAATTGGGAGTAATCTGCCCGTCATACGACAAACGGCAAATGTCTGATCTCGATTGAGTCCATTACGATCTAGATTAACTTAAGGAGAAGAAAAGTCAAAACAATTTACAAGTTTGCGACAGACACTAAGCCACGTGAAATTAATAGTTTGTTAATCTGTAGACTACGGACATCAAAAGGGGGCTTTATGTTATTATTTCATCCGGGGAAAGATTTCAATGGCAAAATGTTTTGGCCGACCCTGCTGTAAATTGTTTTTGTTGCGCTCTATTCTTCCATTAATCATAGATTGGACTGTTTGAACTTTATAGGAATACCTTTGTGGAAAGTACTGGAAAGCAATACTTTGAATTGACCCTTTCAAGTTTATTTGTAATTTAGTGTGTATAGTCTCGAAAGACCACGTTGCAATTTGCATTTTTGCGAGCTCTATTTTCTGCACGATCACATGACAAATGAACACAGGTCACGAAAAGGTTGTATCAATCACGACAAGGTTGGATAACTTCCGCCTATGCGCGCGCGCGCTATTCGCACCAAATAAGGATAAATTGAGCTCCGTTGATGCTGAGCCACTAGGAAGTACAGTTTTCTTCTTTGGTAAATTCAGTTAAGCTGAAGTAACTTCCACCTCGAACTGCGTAGTGTTTTTCCTTGTGAAAACATAGAGTTAGTCTGCCAACTGTGGCTATCCGCTCTAGAGGAAAACTTCACATTGGGTTGTTCTCAAATGAAGGCGGTAGCTCCAGATATCTTCAACGAAAACAGCGTGGGAAATGTTCTGTTGGAGGTCACTTAGAGCTTGAGCACAGCAAGGATGTAAGAATAATGTAATTTGTAACGTCTACTTCTGTTCGCTCTCTCTGTGGCGCTTTTAATTTCGCAGCAAAGGTAAACCGTAAAACGCATATAAGCTTAGTCTTAGCTGACAACCAAAATCTGCCAAACTACAGAGCACTTGCTTTCGCCTAGCTACAGTCTAGCTACTGAAGGTTTGAATCTTAACCTTAAGCTTATATCCCAAGCAATTAATGGTAATTTTCGTCAAGTATAAGGCTTACATTATTTAATATACAACTTGGCGTAGTGTCATGCAGAAAATTCTTATAATCTCGGATGTCTCGGTCTCTCGTTCTTGCTCGAGGTAGGACGAAAGATGACGTTTTGCGCTGCCATATGAAATTAGTATGAGCTTAAGCTTAAGACTTAGGTTATTTGGTACAAGAGGTTTCAAGACAGCGACAATCCGTATCTTTGAAATCTTTGGTGGTGTGCTTTTGAACTTTCAATTTTAGTGTTTTGCTTAAGCTTAAATTCAAATTTTATGTCCATTCTCTGCCACAATGGGGGTTGGTGGTGGTGGGAAGTTGTGGGGGGATGTTAGGGTATGCATTAAGAGTTTGTTTAACTGGTGTCTTGCATATGGCAACAAGGAACAGCATATTTTGTTTAGAATAACACAACTTATGTCTTACCTGGCAACACTCAACGAACTACGAGCAAGTTGCCAGTGACCAATTTTTTGGAGCCAAATTAGAAGCTTGGAGACACCAAATGCTTCATATTTTTTTCCTTTTTGCCATCTGATATGGGTTTTGGAATTGTAAATTCCTTTTCGTGAATTTTTAATGCCATCTCTAGCGAGAAATGTTGCCCGATTTCAATGCCTTTCCAGTTTAACATAACTCGATGTCAGGACAGTCAAGCTTTTCCCACTTACTGAATCCAGATTGGTCAATTCAAATTTCAGTCACGCCAGCCATATACAAGGTGACCCATATCCACTTAAATAAACGAAGGTATTGTTCAGCAATTTACCCAGGGTAGGTCTTTCTTTTCAATTTTGGCTGAAACATATTTTACCATCACTAACTAAAGATGTAATGTTAAAACATCATAATATATAATTGCTTCATCTTGTTCACCACCAAAGCATGTAGTTCTAACTAGTCTTTCCGTATTTCAATATTGGACTATTTAATAAACCTTTTAAAACGTGGAAGGTGATTTTAGAAAATGATTTTAATTTATCCAATAAACCCTGGAATCCAATTGCAGTCTGTATAATAAACTTGTGTCTCAATGTTTTAACCCAAGCAGTTTTGTTAACGAAAAACAGCAAAAAGGCTCTGCCAAGGCTCTCTGGAGATTTGGACTACCAATAGCTTATAAAGCTAAATTTGAAGTTGACAGGAAAACCAGAGTAGCTAAATCCATTTTTATTTCTTCATGTAGCAGGTAATGGAACATGCTGGGAGTGTAGAGAGTGATGCATCAAGCTGTGAAGAGCCAAATGCTAAAAGGTGTAGGAGAGACCCAAATGCTCCAAAACCTACCAAGAGTGTTGTGGTTTTTTTGGATAGTGATGTCACTGTCACTGAGAATGGTCAAGTGCTCATGCCGAATACTATTGAAATGGCAGCATTAAAAAAAAACAGGGATGGTAAACAGTACAGCAAAATGGCCTTTACATCAGAGATGAACAAAGAGGATGTTCTTAGTGCACTTTATTTAAATTTCCCAATTTTAAGAACCAAAAGAAGGTAACTAAATGTTTTCATTATTAGCAAATATGCCTGTGCCATTTTATTCATTAACCCATTGACTCCCGTGCCCCCTGTAACCGGCCGTCACAAGTCTTGGCCTTTGTTCCACTTCTGACGTCATCATCTTTGACCAAAATTGGCATAATCTATACTCAACTTCTGCAGGAGGAAAAGATCTTTCCAATGATACCCAGATCAGAGTGATCGGCTCAAATTATGGAGCCTGAAGTATGCACGAAAATGCTCAGAAATTTGAGTGAAAAACTGACAGAGCAAAATTCTCTAAATTTTGATTTCTGTGCATGCCTGAGCTAAAATGTCATAAAACGTCATGCTAATGGAAGAAAGGCTTCTGTCATGTTCCAAATGCCTTTTTGAGTAGATTGGATCTAATTTAGCTCATATCCAGCCTGAAAATCTCCAATATGTCCGAAAAATGCATTTTTGGCAAGAAGCCCTAGGAGTCAATGGGTGAATATTTAAAATTATAAAGTTCTTCCTTTTTCAAACTACATTATACAAATGAATGGCTGAAAGAAGACATTAAGGCAATACTGTACGTGTAATTATAATGTAGTGAGATCCTAATTTAAACTGTCTAGCATTAAATTAAATTAGGAGTTGGACTGACATGTCTTTATATAATAAATTTACTAGCATGCAGTTAAATTAACAACAATTTCACTTATAAATATGAATTTTTTTGCTGTCACTTGAATGAACAAATTAAATCAACCTAACTATGAATTCTCTTCTTTTAAATATTCAGACTTAGCTGTGCTTCAGCTCTTGACAAATATCGGACAAAGCTAGACTTTCATGGTGATAGAAGAATATGGAATGGAGCTCTCATTAAAAAATGCATCAGAGGCAATTCAGCTCTGTACGTGCTTGCTGAGGTCTGTAAACGTTATTTCTGCAATCATATTTAAGTTGTTAATTCTGTTAACACGTGGTAAAATCATTACTTAATAAATTTTTGGATTAAGCCGTGGGTAAGGAAGCACTATCACTTGGTTGATGAATTCCTCCTTCAGAACCTGCTCTGAATTCATATTTTCTTATTCTTAATGATAAAATGATTGAAAGGCAGTTTTCAATTGGTTGTTGTAAAAGCAAAACCAATTGAAAGTTTTCACAAGTAGTCAAGCATACATGTAACTATTAGCAACATATGCAAATGCAGTAAGGTGCTATAAAAGTAAGTAACACCTTTTGTTGAAAGTTTTCATATAAAAGATGCTAGTTATCAAGAACCTCTTACTACTTCTGCGTGTGTCTCCTTATGCTTATGCTTATGAATTAGATAGTGAAAACCACAGGCTTCCCAAGCTCAAAATATGTGATGTATGTGACAGCTTGTGTATAAATATAGATTGATCGGTGATTTTCCCATACAATTCTCTATATACACAAGCTGTCGCATACACCATGTATTTTGAGCTTGGGAAGCCTGTGTGAAAACCAGCTTTTACTGGCCAATCACAAAGGACACAGACAATATATATAGTGAACCAATCAAAACTTGAAGTAATTACATGCAGCCAGCTGATGCAAAATGCAGGAAAACATGTGCTTGTGAATGTTGCAATCGGTTTTGATTGAATTTTTACCTCGATCTGATTGAACAATCATGTAGGGCGATGAAGCAAAACATATTATTTTTTGACACTCAAATAAAAATCACTCTTAGGTCTATTAATAATTTATAGCACAGTACAGTTATTATTAAAGGATAAGAGGAGGATTGCATAGAAAAAAGCCCTTAGTGACTCTTGATCTCATGTCAAGTTCTCCTCTTTTCATATCTAAGGAAGCAAAAAGCAACTTGCTAGGAGCAGTCTATTAGATGTCACTTAGGCTCTTTTTCCAAGCACCCTATCAAGTGGCTCGGTTGTAGACCCAAGGGACATTTAATTTTGTTGATGATACCTAGTACATAGCTCTGGGCCCAGAGTCCAAAATCGTATGACTACCTAGCTTTTGTGTGTAGATATANTTGGTCAAAGGTGAACTTTGTCCTGTTCAAGAACTGGTCTTGTGGCTCTCTGATGGGGCAGGAATCAAAGGAATGGATGAGAAGTACAAGACACTTTGTTCATGACTATCCTTGGTTGATTTACTATTTGTAGCTGTTATTTTTTTTTAAATAAAAACTGAAGCATTGCAAAATGTATCTCCAGAGTTTTGTTTGGCTAAGAAGGAATCACTGACCCTTGACGCTCTTATCGTTCGTCACGTGCTCCTTCGTGGAGGCAAGATTGTGTGACGAGCCGAAAGCTTCAGCGTGGGAGGCCAGTAAAAGCACGGTCTAAGCTTCGATCTCGTTTCTTATGTACCATTTATTCCCGGTTCCAGCCCCTTTCTGATGGTTCTTACTTCTTGGTGCTTTCTTCCAGGGAAATGTAACTGATGTTGCAAACTGTTCGCAATTTCGTCCCTGCCCCCCCCCCCCGGAATCCCTCTTCTTAGTCTCCTCAACTCTCGCCTCAGAAAGAGCCACCACTCCCGTGCCACCCCTCCCCGGCACTGGATCAAGTCGTGTTCTCACTTTTGGGATAATTTGTTCTCCATTTCCAGGAAAAAAAAAAAACTTTTCTTGGATGACAATGAATACTAACACCTGAAAATGCACTTGCAGCAGAACATTAGGCAAATGCACAAGGGAAAACCCCTTGGTTGTCGTCTTTGGTTGTACGGTTAGGCTTATATCACACACGGTCTTCCGTGTTTGATATATTATGTCACACATTAGAGTTTTGTCCAGACCTAAAAGTTATTACAGCCTTGCACAGCGCAAATAACAGTACCACTTGAAAGTACTGCTAAAAAGCTTCCATTTCGAATGGTCTCAAACTATAATGTCCTCTACAGTCTTATACCAAGGTTCAAATCTCCGAGTGTAAGGGATAACAGTAGAAAAAGGTATGTATTTATTCAAATCACGAACTCCAAATTGTTTTGAGATAAAATATTTTTTATTATTCAAAACTATCAATCACACTTGAACTCACACCAGATTCTTTTGAGAAAAATTTCAATTGCATTACTAGATCACGCTTTTACTAACTAGAATGTCAGTATAGTAGAATATAAAGTATAAAAGTAACAAGTTGCACGCACCTAAGGTATTCTCCCAGGGGGATACTCCCATATGAAAATGTCAGCGATGCTCGCTGTAAAATTTGAATTAAACCCCTCAAAGAGTCCAATATGGGTGTGGCTTGAGCTTTGTTTGACCCCTGAAGGATACCACTTAAACAGAATATGCTCGATTACCAGCCTCTATTCAGGAAAGAAGCCTGTGCAAGTAGAAAGGCTTGAGAGAGTGGCAGAAATCCAGCCCAAAAAATGGAAGAGCCTTCTTTATTATTTTTTCAAGTGTACCCTAAAAGATACTTTGACTTCTAAAAATAGCAGTGTTTTGTCATAAACACCCTAAGTGAGACCAGACTCAAAGATTTATACCTTTAGGTGTGACAAAAAGCATTCCCCAACTTTTTCATATGGAAGTTCCCCCGCTGGTGGTATTTGTTTAAGTAATTGTAAGTTTACTAGCAATATGAAAAGTTAGAGACAACCCACTCCAAAATTTAAAACAAAACTCAGAAACGAGTTTAACTAGTTGGATGGAGTATCAAAACAGGTCAAACTGGTATTCCTTTCCAGGCCCAGCAACACAACAACAAGATTCCATCATCACCGCAAAATGCGAGGTCCACAAAATTAACTATCACAAAAAAAAATGTTAGGTGTGGATGGTAAAAAAATACAGTTCTGCATCAATAAATGCTCGATTTACCTCAATTAAAATTCAAGTTGGTTAAGTCTGAAATCTTCACCTCTTCTACAAAAGAGGATATTTTTAAAAATCTTTAGATTTCAATAATATTATGAGTTTAATCATCTGTGTAACAGTGACCATGCAATGTGCATTTTCACTGACCAGTGTGTAAACATTTAAATATTATTTTTAAAAATAATCATACAGTCTCGACTTAATATGCCTTTCAATAACATGTGGACTCCGCTCAATCATTGGTTGCAATTTTTTCTGTTGGTTTATCATCTTGATGGAACTTACAGGAAAAAGAAGTTCACCTCAGTGGGTTGGAAAGCTTACATCTGTGAGATGTCATTGACACATTTCCATCTTTATTAATATCAACGGCAATGACAAATGAAATTGTTGGGTTTAAAACTTCTAACCTGTGAGCAACCTCTCTTAACAGCTTGGAGTAGGTTGTACTCTATGAGCTGCCGAGAGGGGCTGCAAAAGTAAAACAACTGTGACCTCATCTTTCAAAGTCCAATTTGAAAACGATACACTCTATCAAATCTGCAACTTTTAACTTACTAATTCAATCTACTCTTAACTAATAATTGCCTGGAAGGAAATAATGTGATTCCCTTCAATTAAAATCTAGTTTAGAGCAGTTTTCTTATACCTGTCACAAACCTAAGACCTGAGTACACACAATGAGCAGTGAATGCAAAGATGCAAAACACAAATACAAATTTCAAGTAAAAACCACAGTGTGGCTAAACATATAGCATCTCGTCATCAACTGATTCAATAAAAATTAGAAACTGGACAAGCATACTTTGCAGAACAAGGTCATTTTCATTGCTTTTTAGTTTACTGAATTTCCACTGTAGAGAAACAAAATGAAAGTAAAATATTACAAAACTGTCCTACCACAAAATTTCAAAACTATTGTCATCCTTAACTGACTCCAAATGCCGCCTTCCTGGCCATGAAAGCCTCCTTCCTGACTTTGGCCTCTTGTGCTTGCTTTTTTCTTTCTTCCTGCTCCTGTTTAATTTCAGCTTCAAACTTGTTTGAAGAAGCTTGCTCCTTGACCTTAGCCTCAAAGAACTTTGCTGCCCCACCCACCCCTACTTCATCCACATCAATCTCAGCAAGTCTAGCTAGTTCACTGAGGCCAGATCCTTCTTCAAGTTCACCAGCAGCAGCTTTACGGAAGATCAACAGGAACTGCAATATCAACAAGGAATTGGTTTAACCCTTGTGCCGAGAATAAATATGTCTCAGATTGTTACCAGTCTACATGGAATCACCTTGTGGACCAAAGAGCACTGGTGACTAGCCTAGTTTGTTTTCACATCGGTCTTGGAAGCTGACAAGCGGCAGTCAATTTCTTTCGTGAAAATTAGTTTCTTTATAGAGGTAGAAATGATGTTATGATTTTACAAACTTGAGAATTACTCATTCATGCTTATCTCTGTCCATTTGTATGTAATTTTGCTGTAAAATTGGCTTTTGTCGCAAGTGTGTAAGTGATTGTGTTCACAATAAAAGTATGGTGTCAATTTCATCTACATTCATCTTATCAGTCCTTCAACCCAAATTGTACCACATTTACAAAGGGACTTAGTTGTATAGGAAGGTAATTTGACAAGTTACCATCCTATCTATTTTTTAAAGCATGTTTAGATAAATTGCTGTATGTTTCCTTTGTGTGTATCTTCAGATGTTAGGATCAATCGCGAATAAACAGCAGTAACGTGCAATACAGACAGCTAAATGTTTGGAGTTTTTACTTCCACTTTTAACAGACTTTCTTGCCAAAACTACTTTTTCCAGAGGGTATGGGGGGTGCACATAATACTCGTGGAGTGGGGGGGTTATTTTTGTATTCAAAAATGGGAACTTCCGGAAAGAAGGTGGGGTTTGGGTGAAATTCCCTCCATGGTGGGGGTATGGATATTTTCTGGAACTACACATTTTGTATGAGAAGGAAAATGTTGTGATACGTCATGCTTTGATGGGTTTTTGATTGACACCATGCCTTCTTTGGTAATTAAAAGAAAGCAGCTCATCCTGCATTGCTTCACATGAATGGCAACATATCTTCACTGACTCGCAAAACACCAACCTGGATAGCATTTTAACCTTGACCATTTGACCAAGGGCCAAACATGGCTACAATAATGTCACTACTTTTCCCACAATAATGATGGCATGGATCGACAAATAGTGAATTAAATAATATTTACCTCTCGAAAGGAAACTTTACCATCATTGTCTTCATCAATTTCTGTGATCATGTTCTTTAGTCCCACGTGTGTCTGAGGAGCACCTAACTTTTCCATCAACAACTTCATTTCCATAACATCTAAATAGTGATCATTGTTTACATCATACCTAAAGAATGATAGTCCAATAAATGATATAAACTAAAAAATGCTGCACCTCTCCGAAATCTACTATTAAGCTATTAAATATGAATCCTGTTTGTATGGACCCTAATAATAAAAATACTTAAAATAATAATTTTACATGTTCATTGCAGCTGCACTGAAGTTCACCTGATTGATTGAAAGGTTAAAATTTTATTCAATTCTGGAATAACCCTTGAAATGAAAATTTAAAACAATAACCAGAGCATTGTTGGTGGTCATCCATCTAAGTTCCTAGAGGGTACCTAGGTCAGCTTTTGCTGGGTACGTGCCAGCCCCTAACTCCCTGTGGCCAGCTATAGATTGCAACTTAGAAACCTTTTTGTGAATGTAAATTATGCTATCCCCTCTTTGTCACTTTGTGTCAATAGATCTACCTTGTGAAATTTTTCAGTTTGTAAATGTTAATGACTTAACCCTTTAACTGCAAATCTGATCTCATCCAATGACAGATCCTCATTAGCATACCATGAGGAAGTCAGTGCACACCCCACCCACTCATCCCCCACCTCAACTAGAGCTTAATAGTTCATACCAGCATTGGCATGAACTGGTACGATACCCAGGTCTGGCCTATTCTGTTTTTGATGTATTAAAATTCAGCTTGGCTTCAAGGCCTCGTGGACATAAACAATGGAAATGGAATGAGTACAGTTATTAATTTCTCTTCTTTGCGCCCCTAGACCGCCCCCTACCGAGCTGAATTCTAATATCTCGAAAAAGCCTCATCAGTTTTCGACAGATCAAATTACTCTCTTCCCAAAATCGGTGTGTGACATTTGCAGACTGCATCTACAGTTGGGCCTAAATAGCGCTCCGGTTAGCCTGAACATCTCTTAGATTAATCTGAATAGCTCTCAAGTCAGCCTGTTTAAGGTTAGCTATCGATAATAGAAATGGGCACACGATATTACTACTAGCAAAAAATTCTGCAGTCTGCAGGTCTACAGTCTGCAGTCTCAAATGTCATACTCCGACATAAAACATCAAATTCATGGATCTTTAGGCTTAAAAAACACACATATACACGTACGAAACTTGTAACGCGGATGAAATTTGTGTTCCGGGTTAAGGCAAAAACTGAAAGTACTTAAAATTCTAGCTGTGACCCTTTGAAATTCAAAACGAACTACTATCGATATCAGAATGTGATAAGCTGAAAAGCTATCACAAAATCGAAAATGTCCTATTCCCTCTGGACTCACAAGGTCTCCTACAGGCCAATCCACATCGACATGATTCTAAATGGTAAACAACACCTCTGCTAAGTTTACTGACACTTACGTCTTAAACATCTTCTCGAAATCTTTAATCTGCTTCCTAGTAAATTCTTTGAACTCGGTGTAAGGGTTGAAAACCTTCATCTGGCGTCTAGGCATCTCTTCGTCTTCATTCAACGCCTGTCGACGGTTCAGTTTAGCAGCCAGTTCATCTGTCTCTGACATGATGCTAAAATAGCTCTCTTCGGCTGGAATAAAATCACAAAATAGTGTTTCGAACTCCCTCGAACAACACACACACACCCCGTATGTGAGAACGGAACTGGATGCTCATTCCATCACAACACCCGGCACTGTTGAAAGCTGCACGCTAATTGGACAAGACAATTAAATGAGATATAAAACGTCATTTCATTGGCTTGCTAATAAGTTATCGAAGGTAAACTTTACCTTTATTGAAAATTGAAGAATACGTAAACGGTTATAATTAGTATATTGTTTACTTAACGCACGAAACGAAATGTATACCTTTTATGGAATTGAAAAATCAACTGAATAATTTGATTGTGAATAATATAGGACCCCAGAAAACTTCAGACTCTGAGAATATAAATTGAGAAGACAAAACTGAGTCGAAGACAAAATCGAAGATTGTTGGTGAGGCCCTGTTAGGAGGGCACCCATGTCCCCTGTCTGATTTTCGCCACCAGCCATGTCGTCGGAATTTCGTCTGAGAGGAGTTGTCACCGTCGGGAAATTTGACCTTGTTCGATTGAAACGAAGCTACACGTATAACACATCGTAATACCTTTGTTCATTTATTAACAGGAAACCGACACAGTGCTCTCAAGTCTCACAGCATGAGGCTCACGCAAACGAATTCAATCTTGCGCTCTCACGCCGAAACTATTATTTCTCACGCACTGAAGCTTCCTTGCTGTTTTAGTCAAGTGCATATATAATTAAGTATCTCTTTGGATATAATTTACTCCTTGTGCGCTTTGCACTTGCTTCGAACACCTTTCAACAGTAAGAATTCTTATACAGAGCCAACATTTCTCCGGTCAGTGGGTTTAATGATTACTTTATGGTTACTTTTAAAGCATCACATTTCGACTCAGAATGAAGACTTCTTAGCTACGTCAATTTTTCAAAATTTTCTAAGGGGCTGGGGGCATGCTTTCTATGGGCTTGGGCATGCTTTCGAGTGCTGAAGTTGCTAACCTCCTAGGGGATGCGGAGGCATGTTCCCCCCGGGAAATTTTGAAATTTAGACGTTTGGAATTGTTATTTTCAGCCTTTTTCCAGGCAGTATTTGGACCTGAAGTACAATCGAACCTATGAATATTTTTACTATGCTTATGATTAACAACCGTTCTCTAACTCAAAATCTGAACGGCCTCAATCAGAATAATCTCTCCTATCTATAATTTTCCTTTGAATTTGGCGCAATCCTTACCTTCTGCTGAAGACGAGAAGACCTTGGAAGCTCTCCCCTGTCTCCCTTTTCCTTCCATAATGCCATTTGTTGATAATAAAGCTTCATATTCTTTTACTTCCTTAAGCGTGTTTTTTGGCGTTTTAGCGCACTGCTCACTCGGCTGAGAGTGAGAAAAATACTCAGCAATGACGGACTCGATTTATTCGACGTAGACGTTTTAGCATATATAAGAAAGCCTGGGTTTCACGACCTGTCAACATCGCGCGTGAGAGAGGAAAACACATTTAAAACTCTGGAAATGCGTCTTCACTTCGACTCAGACGTTTAAAACAATCACTGCATTCTCAGTTCCGAAATTCGTTCTCGGTCTATCTTGCCATTGGTGCCGCTTTCCCTATTTCGCTGAAGTAGTCTGTCCTTCTTCCCCGGTTTCGCCGTTGGAAAGGTGTAGTCTCCTCCCAGGCCGTTTTTAGGGTCGTCACGCAATGCTTCTCCCCCACTGGGGGAGAAGCATTGCGTGACGACCCTAGTAACGGCTGGGGAGGAGCCTAGGAAAGGCGCAGCCCGCCAATGTTTTCACCGGTGACGTAAATACACATTAACCAATGAACAACAAATACTGACTATACGTCATGACGTCGCGCGCTCCTCTGCTACCTATGAACATTGCGTGACCATAAAACATTTCAGGTGATAAGAATAGAGACGAGTTTAAATCTTTTCTTTTTTTGTTTTCTTTTTTTTATTGCAATATCTTACATTACATTACATACAAAATTTTTTTTCTTTTTTTTTTCGAGGGGTCTGAGTTTTCGGGGTCAAGTTTAAGAGATTCTTAGTTCTTCACTGTTTGATCGATGCGACAGCGATAAACGGGAAAAGATAAATATTTCGCTCCTTTCTGGCTGTTGCCTATGAACATTGCGTGACCATTGCGTGATAAGAATTGAGAAGAGTTTAATTTTTTTTTATTTCGAGAGGTCTGAGTTTTCGGGGTCGGGTCTGGGTTTTCGGGGTCTGAGGAATGAGTTCTGAGTTTTGGGTGCCAGTCGGGGTGTCAGTAAAACGCGGGGCCGGGGTCGGGGTCTTTTTTTTCTTTTTTCTTTTTTGAATTTTCTTTTTTGCTGTTATCTTCCTTTTTTCCTCTTGTTTTTTTTTTTTTTCTTTTTGATAAAAAGTATGTACTTAATCTTGGGGAAATCCATCTGTTTGGCAAAAACAAAAACAAAAACTAAGGCCCACCAAGCTAAGAATGGATGAATTTCATGAATGTGTGATAACGTCACAGCCAATTATCTGGTTGAATGTTCAGAACATATAACCAGTGGCGGATCCAGACCTTGAGCTAAGGNCGGGGTCTTTTTTTTCTTTTTTCTTTTTTGAATTTTCTTTTTTGCTGTTATCTTCCTTTTTTCCTCTTGTTTTTTTTTTTTTCCTTTTTGATAAAAAGTATGTACTTAATCTTGGGGAAATCTATCTGTTTGGCAAAAACAAAAACAAAAACTAAGGCCCACCAAGCGTCATGGCAGCAAAAAACTGATTTAACGGTTGAAAATGACATTTTCTTCCCGACCATTTGGGCGTGAAAAGGTTAAAAGATATATATATCCTTAAAAGCTAAGAATGGATGAATTTCATGAATGTGTGATAACGTCACAGCCAATTATCTGGTTGAATGTTCAGAACATATAACCAGTGGCGGATCCAGACCTTGAGCTAAGGTGGGAGGGGCAGTTTTGTTTTGCTTGCCCTGCTGGCTTTTCTTCCTTCTGTGATTTTTTCTTTTTTTACCCAAAATAAGTGGGACCCTTGGGCCCCTTCCCTAGATCTGCCACTGATAACAGTGGTGCTCTGTTGTTTTGCAATATCATAACAGTGAATGTTGATCTTTCAGTCATGTGAACAGTATAAAATGTTACATTTGAGAGGTAACTTGACCCACACAGCAAAGATCGTTTTGGTGTAATAGGATAATTAATTGTCATTATTGGTGGAAGATAAAATTAAATTAGATTAGATTGAATGGATTGGAAGATCACACTTTCTGTGGCAAAGTTTTGATACCTCTCTGTCTTATATTGTCTTCTTGGATGAGCACGTCATGGTATGCGCTTTGAATAAATATTTACATTGAATTATCTTTGATACAATAAGCACAAGCTTCATGTTTATTGCATTTTCATTCAAAGACTACTTCTTATTGAGTGCAGTAGTCAACCTTCACTATTAATAATTATTATTCACATCCCCACCTGTTCCCTGCCCAGGAGGTACTCCCATATGAAAGAACAGGGGTGCTTGATGGAAATTTTGAAAAGTGGGTGTGGCTCGCAATTTTTTGTCACCCCTAAGAGATACCAATTCTAAAACAACTCATTACCTACTGTCATATTTTTTTCAGCTCAATACCCTAAAATTAAAGGTACAGCGAAAACTGCTGCTGTGGATCTTTTCAGGCTGAACACCCTAAGAGTTACCAAAACGGCTTTTTTAACCCCTAAAAGCCATGACAGGCACCCCCATCCTTTGAATGTGAGTGTTCCCCCCCTCCCCAGGGCAATTCTGATACCCTAAAAAGACACTCCAGCAACAAGCAAAAATTATCCTGTTTTATTCATTTTGTCAGAAGTTATGACAAATATTTTTCTTTATTTGTGCGAATAAGTTCTCACTAATAACATCAAATGTCCTTAAATATGATGACAATCTTAACTGATTTGTCAGAATACATAAATGTATGCAAATATTTCTCCTTTAATTTCTATATATTGTCGCTAATCCAGAAAGGTTGAAAAGTAGGGACGGACACAAATTTTCAAGGCTGTGATTTGAATGCAGATATCCAGGCATGTCAAACATTCATCCACCATGCATTTGTTTTGGCATTTAACACGATGGCATCATAAAAAGTGCCCAAGAAAATGCAATCCCCTTCATGCTCAGTCTTGAAAACAGAGAGAGAGAGAGAGAGCTGATATTCCAAAAGAAAACTTAAGTTACATAAATGCATGCAAATATAATTTTCAATTTCTCTTTGGCTTACATTCAACCCTAGAAGGCTGTGATCAACTTAAATGCAGGATGTCCCGACAGCTCAAACATTACATCCACTATATGTGTTGCTTTTCATTTAACACAATAGCATCATAAAAACCACCAAAGACAATGAAATTCAAGTTGAGGTACACCTTACAGGAAAGTCTTGTACAATTTCCATAATGGAAAAAGTCACCAAAAGTATTTCAAGGATGGACCATTATTTTTTTGAGGGGGCAGGCAGTAGATTAGGATATTTCCCAAAAAAAAAAAATTAAATTTCTGCACAGCAAAAACTGCTGAAAACTCATGCAAGGAGAGCCATGGCAAAAAAATCGAGCAAGTGCTTCCTACTACACAGGTCCCGTGTTTGACTTTTAAAATAATTCTTGCACAAGGTCTTGCACACCAAAAAATACATTATGCACAACCTAACGGTGAGAGAAAAATTTCATGCCACAGAAAATTGCCCAGCCCTCCCTAAAAAATAATGGTCCATCCCTTATAATCAGACTTTTCTATCTAGAATGTAACATTTCAAAACTAGTCTGTGAATCCACACAATGTTATGATTCTCCCTCCTTTGCAGCACAGCCACAGTCTGCCCCACCTGATGACGCAGACTCACTTTCTTCCTTCTTTGGCTTGTCTGAGGGTATACCAAGAACTTCAAGGATTTGTTTGTTAGACACATGATCTCCAGGTGAGGCCTGTTTGTAACTAAGTAGCACTTTTTCTCCTCCTGCTGTCACGATCAGCATGCCGCCATTCAGTAAGCCATCACCACGATAGTTACCTTTGATACCTTTTGCATTGGCCTGAATGGAGAAACACCCCCAAAAATATTTCAAAAAGGTCAACAAGGGGAGAGGAACATTTTCAAAAGTATGAGATACATATATCGACAATGACAGTGCAGCTCCTTGAAATATCCATTACTCCAGCCTAAGGAAGGAATGCCATTACGTCTCTAAGGGATTTTCGAGGACAATTCCAATTTTTGAAAGGAGATTGTGACTGAGCTATGCTGGAATTTTGAGATGGGTGGAGCAGGGGACACCAGACAATATGGGAAGGGTATGGATATTTGAACAACACAACCGGCGTTAGTAAAGACTAGCAAAATACCGCAAAATATTGCCCTAACCTACAAGCATTCCCATCTGGGGAGATCAGCAAATACTATATATATTTTGTTTAACTGTTTAAATGTTACTGATAAGTTGAGTATAAGATTAAATCCACAATTGAAATTAAAGTATGTCATAAAGCAAATTAAAAAATAAAAATAGAAGATTTCTTTATTAGAAATTAAAAAAAGAAATTCTCACCGTAGCGAGGGAAGATCTTGTTTCTTTAGTTGCCAGTCCTCCAAGGACAGAAACAACATTGTACCTTAACAACAGAAAGTAAACCTCTATTTTAATACTAAAAACATAACATAGCCTGGCCTACTGCAGGGACAAGGAAAGGGCAAAATGTTGTTATACCTTCTGAATCCTAAGTCTTTATAACACTGCTGTTTAGAATCAAGATACAACTCTATAAATAAACAATACAAAACAACATTAGTCAGTCTACAAAGATTTCTTTTGACAGATATACAATGTCAGGCTTTACCCTTTGACTGCCAAATTTTCACAAAAAAATTGCCGTTTTTAACCGTTAAATCAGGTTTTTGGCTACCATGACGCTAAATAAGCATTAGTTCTGTTGAAAAAGCTATTTTTTTTTACCAAAAAGATGGACTTCCCCAAGATTAAGTACGAAAATGTACAATATTTTAATTTGGAGCACGCACTAAGCTAAAATTTGGATTTTTGCGATTGCCCATTCCGAATTTTTTCTTGCCAATCTCCTTTCCTTTTTCTTGGCCCTTTTACTCTCACTACCATTTGTGTTTCATATTCTTTCTGGCTGCTGTAAAAAGTTCATGTTTATCATGGGCAAAGCCTGGAAATGGGACCCTGATCAATTATAGGACCCTGGTATAATGGGCCATTTTATCACCACTTTTGCACCAAAACTGATAATGTTGTTTATCAATTGCTACATCAGAATGCCATCGATATCCAAAAGCACCTGTTGGGCGGATAGATCAATCCTAGCTCTACTATCTGCTTATCAAGAATAACTGGTGACGTTTAAATTAATGATGTCACAAGTGGGAGCACGACCATTCAAAACGCATATACGGTATGCGCCATTGGCAGTCAAAGGGTTAACTTGAAGTTTGTAAGTGCCGGATGAGGATGAGCCTGGTGACATTTATGCCTCTAGAGTGATTATCTCCATCTCACCAGGGGAAGGAGTGTACTTTGATCTATCTTCAGCCTAAAAGAGGAAACCCTTCAAGCAGAGGCTCCCCTTATAGCCAGGGGCTGATGCCATGGGCTTCTGCTATCGTCCACTGTGCGGAGTAACTCCTCCCTTGAGCAATCAAAATGAAAAATAATGCCACATATCCTCATTTCCACATATCCTCCTTTCAAACTGACAGACCTCAATTCAAAATTCACCTGTATCATGTGTTTCTTGTTAGTATTTTATATAACTAACCTCCAGTAAAAAACTTTCCCTCTTGAAATTCTTCTAGACCTAATTCCTCCAATCCCACACCATAGAGCTTCACTTTATGTGCATCAAGCTGTGGCTTGACCGAACTGAGTTCAGTCGACCACAACCTGCACAACTGTCATCCAAAGCGACGCAGAAACACAACCACAGCAGTTTGCTTGGCCCATAAACTCTGCACTTCCACCATCTGTTAACAAAGGTAAAGGTAAACTCTGCGTCAGAGCAGTGGCCCATACAAACAGAACTTATCCCGGTTTCTGTAGCATGAAGCGACTAGGAGTATCTATACTCCTACCTGAACAGAATGCTGTGGAGGCGTAGTGACCTCATGGTTTGTGTACTCACCTCCAGATCAAGAGGTCTGCCCCCTGGCTGGGGACATTGTGTTTTGTTCTTGGGCAAGACACTTTACTTTCAGGGTGCCTCTTTTCACCCAGGTGTTTAAAATGGGTATCAGCGAACATAACGCTGGGGGTAACCCTGCGATAGACTAACATCCCATTCAGGGGGGAGTAGAAATATTCATATTCACTTCATGCTACAGAAACCTGGATGAGCATCAACCTTATGGTCCACTTGGCTTGTATACCGACTTAACCATTTTTACTCTGGATGGGATGCTAATCCATCACAGGGTTACCGGTACCTCCCTTACCCCAGCATTAAATTGACCAGTATCCATTTATACACCTGGGTGGAGAGAGGCACTGTAAGAGTAAACTGTCTTGCCCAAGAACACAACATAATGATCTCCGGCCGGGCTCAAATCCAGACCACTCAATGTGCCTCTTCTCTGTTCAGAAAGATAGATCATTAATGACTAATTTAGCATTATTTACTTAAGCCTGGTTTTCACTAGCAATGCAAGCACAAGTGCAAACATAGTAATTCTCATTTCACTGTGAAAATGGTCTTGATGCAGGCATAAGCATAAGCGCAAGCACAACCCAAGGATCAATTTTTTTTCTTCTTCTTGCGCTTATGCTTGCATTTGTGCTGCAACAAAAGAAAACGAAATACCACTCAGGCATAACACAAGCACAAGGATATTTACCACACGTGGTTGAGTTTGGCCAAGAAAACACTGGACCCAGATTACCTCGAGCCTAAACAGTTTGAAAGGTTCAGATGATTTTGCTTGTGCTTGTGTTTGTGTCAAATTTCGTTTTCACTTGGGTCATCCCTACTGCTTGCATTTATGTTTACACTTGTGCTTGCATTACTAGTGAAAACCAGGCTTTAGGGTTAAATCTGTGCCAATCAAATTATTAACTGTAGAGGCCAAGTGGTTCATTAATGCTGGTACAAAACTATAGTTACTATAGAGTGAAGTTACAAGAAGCATTAACTGTTCCTGGATGGGCTGCCCCCCCCCCCCCCCCCCCCCCCCCCCCCCCCCCCCCCCCCCCCCCCCCCCCCCCCCCCCCCCCCCC